AGATATCTGAATAGAAGGATAGATTACCTGAACATAGCAAAACGTGTACAGAATCTTGTGTTTAAAATGTAACTTTGAATGAAACACGTTAGAAAAGTAAAATGAGATAAACTATTTGCAATCGAGCATATTATCAACAACTTGCTTTCCCTTATCGATCTCACGGAAATGTAAGAATCTTGGAGCTATAAATGTATGAAAATGGGTTAAGAATCACGGCCAAATACTAGATATAGTATATCTAACGAAGGGTAAAGAGTCTGCTATCATTAATACACGTCCACACCTCTTTCTAAGTACTTGCACTATTTTTGGCCTGAGAATCGTTACAAAACACCCAAAGGCATGCTGAAATGATCATGTAATGATTTTGGAATGAGGTATAATGTCAAAAGCTTTACTCTTCAATGTAAACATAACCTTGGACGAGATCGGGAATACTTAGTTACAAGAGGATTGCAGTCTTCGTGTTTACTAATATGTCTAAGAGGAAAGAACAATAGATACCGGATTGTAATTAGTTTTTGCAAAAAGTAAACGTCAAAATAATGAGGCTTGATGTCCCAGGGTTAAAATGTACCAAAATGGAAAGGGGAATATGACAGTAATAAGGATCTAATAATGTTACGGACTTCTACCTGAACAAGTTTGGAAAAATATTTTGTAACACTATGAGTAGTTTTCCATAAAATGAATTTTAGAGTGATTATTGCGAGATAGTGACCAAAACATAAATTTTGACGGTTAACTTTTACGACCACTACCATTTTACACCGAGCTTTCATGTATCACATTCACGGAAATTCACAAAAATGGAAATTTTAGGTTTAGGCCGATTATTAAGAATTTCGGAAAAGTATTTTTGAAAGATTACGACCGGAAAGGTAAGTTTTTTTAAATGAGTCCAAAACTTCAAATAAAAACTCGGAACTCACCTTTCAACAATAGGAGGGGAGTAATGCCATCCAGATCTACCAATTTTGTAAAGAAACACACTGGCAGACTGGGTTTATGTGAAGGTGAAGATGTCAACATATATGCCTAGATTGATCATATTAGGAAATCAGCTGATTATACTATTATGGTAAAAAGCAACAATTTAGGCAAATGAAGTTAATGGAAATAAGTGTCGTGCCAGAATCAAAATGCAACATCAATTCTCCTGTCTTGTAATCAAGGCTCCCTGCCCACATTGCCCTGAGTGTTCTTTTTGTGGCGTTTACATAGTTCTTTCATATTTTCATTAGTTTCTGAGACTAGAGTAAGCGTTAAACTAGATGGATGTCTGATTGTACCTTCGATGATTTAATTTTGAAATCTTCAAAATAATTTAAATGTCTAACACAGAGAAATGGAGAAGAGCATTAGGGATTCAAATGTCAACAGATTAAAAAGTTGTAATATGCATTTTCGCTCTTTAATCAAAGCAAGATTTCCTAGACGCTGTACTTGGCAATTACACAGAAATTACTTTCAAGTTTGAACCCTGGATAATTGTCCATTACGCAAAGTGGACGTTTATTGTCATTAAGTAACAGCACGTTATAATAATGTAGCTTTTGATGGGGCATACGTTATTTTAAGCATATTAGTTATGGGGATATTAGGAAGATTACACAACCATTGTCTTGATTTTACAATAAAGATCTCATTTGTGTTGCTTTAGAGGTCAAATGTAAAACAATAACGATGCTCTAAACATGATAAAGAGATGCTTAGCCGATGCAAGAATTTTACTCCTATGATAGATATTTTCAACGTCAGAGCATTTATTTACTTGAATACAACCTAAAATGCCATTTTTACCATGTTAGAGTTTTGAAATGATTTAGAATTCACAATTAAGACCCATTATGAATACGGCCAAACTTAATAACTCAAAAACGTGGCACAGTTTTTAAACACCATAGTTATGTACAAGATAATTTTAAGAGAAATATTTAAAAATCATTACTAGAATTTATCGTTCTATTATATTTTCGTGAATTGCAAAATTGTGTTATACTGTTAGTATTAAATGTTTGGAAGAGCCACAATGCTATTTCCATGCATGCAGTTACTTAAGTGAGCGCCAATAGTGCCTTACTTATCATTACACGAGCATCGCTAGATCTCTAAACGAAACTTATAATGCACATGACCTTCAACCAGAATATTAAATTTATTATTGATTACTTCACAAATCGAATTGTTTTAGAAAAACCTTATAATTGTCAGGAAATAAAGAATGCTGCAACTAGCAATAACAACATAGAGCTTTGTTTTCACAATGCTCGACTAAGATTAGAGATCATTGTTAGGAAAATGACTAAATTCATCGTCACAAATGAAAAGGTTGTCGAGACCTACTAACAGTAGAAAGAAAAGAATCACTTAAGTTTTCCAGGCAAAAGCCGAGAGAAAGTCACCTTGATACAATATGGAATAATTGCCCGGAACAAATTGTGAAGCATACAAAAGACACTGATGAAGTAAGACCTGACGCTGAATATGCTCGCACTCATTACCACTATTTTTCTACCTAACAACGTTAATTAAAGGTTCATCTTCCGTAATCTCACACGTCAGCTAAAGTAAACGAACGCCACGAGGACGACACTTAAATTAGACCACGTGATGCGAAACAACCAATGAAAATGGAATAATAAGTGAGATTTCGTAGTCGAAGTTGGGATTTCAAATAAGTTCTGGTCATTTATCTCATTTTGATAAATGCATCCCGAGCATGTTTCATTAGGATTGTGTTTATCATTTTCGCCTCGATCACTGACTTCTTTTATTTCACCTTTCATCTTATTGGATTTCATTCCCCGAAATGTCAGTGTCCTATTAGGATTGATTAATTAACTTTGTTTGGCATAAGAAGAGGCTGGGACATCATTTTCCGTGTTTGATCAAACACGCGTGACACAATGAGATGTGTTAAATGTAAGCAGAACTCAAGCATATTAAACAGTGTATGTTACATAAGAAATGTATTTTAAGAACTGGGAATTTTAAGAACAAGAAAAATAACCGTTTTTTTCTTTTATTTGTTCTTGCTTGTAAAATTGTAATATTACAATGTAAATAATTATTCATGATGTTGTTGATGCATGACACATTATCTTTTGGGAATTTATGCAGAATCGTGACCATTTTGAGAAATGACTTCAATCAGTCTCGTCTGTCATTTTTAAGATAAGTAATGGTATTTTCTTCATCTAGGTGCTACCTCATTTGAGTATAAAAATCAAGTTGACCTATTGGTTAGGGAGCAAAGAAATAATACCTGAAAAGTCAAAATGGAAAGGGTGATAAAAATGCCGTAAGAATTTGAGATTATTAGCACTTTCCCTCTCATGAAAAACTACTAAAGAATTTTCAGCTCTACCTAGATGCATTGCAATAGCATCCTCATCAATTCTTTATCAAAATTACTCATTTGCATAAAGAATTGACTTTTTTTTGTAAAAAACGTGTGAAAAACGCTGAAAATACTTTTGTTTCACCTGCTTTTGTCAATATACACCTGAAGAGTACGATAAATAGTCTTTCATAAGATATCCTGGATTTTAAAATTCGAAACAAATCAATGTTTTGTCCCGTCTAAAAATATATTAAGTTTTTGTCGAAGGCTTGGGAATGAGGACTGTCTATCCCCAGATTTGGGTTATCAAAAACGTGTCAATTTTCAGAAAAGTGGTCGTTTAATTTTCCATAAATGCTGCATACACGTCCCTTATAGTTTGATCATGCTTATTTTTTCTTAATAAATACTCTTGGCCTAGTTATTAATACTAACATCTCGAGCATGAAGATCAAACGATATTCAAAATTGCATTGACATTCTTTCTCATTCATGAATGACATGAATTATTTCAGTTGGATTCAAATGACCGTTCAGTGTTATTGAGCTTGCATTTAATATTTCTGAAAACATCGGGCAAATAATCTGAATATTAAAGGCAGATAATAATTCCATCATGCAGGTACCATAATTTATATGTTCACCTTGAGTTCAACTTTAAAATGAGAATCAAAAGAAGGAAAACCAATACAATTTCTAAATCATCGATTAAAGTAAGTTATGAATTGAAAATGCAGTTCATGATTCAAAAAGACATACTAATACATCTAATTTTCCGTATCGTGATATTCTAATGCCTCGGTACGGTCACATTTGATCTACGGTAACAATACGGCGACTGTAGCTTCCCAAAATCGAAAGAAACATGTGATGCACCATTTTTGTGAAGCTTGTATGGCAATTGTGACCGAGGTTTTAATTAAACTGAACGAAACAAATGCCATTATTGCTAATTTGTGAGTCTTACTACAAAGTCTGGAGCGTTTGCGAAGATACAATAAACAATAAACGAGATACATACCATTGATCATGAGTATAGTGCGTTTTGCATCGATAAAATCATTGCAATTTAGAATGAAATTTATTTCAGGTGTCTTTATTTAGTCTAAAAGGCAAATGGATTTCAGAATTTTTTTTGTAGGTTTGGAAGATGAAAACATACGAAGCCGTTGAAAATACTAAAAACGGTGTAAAAATTTGTTAACATTTCAAAAAGCCCCACTTCAACATTTATGATCAATGATAACATTGACGAATATTTCGGAATTATGAGCTAAGATAATCTTGTTTTGATTACATGGTCATGTGGTCATTTAAGGACCTCAATTACAAACCCTTCATCAAAGATAAATCAAACTCGCAGGTGTTGCTTGCTCTCTAATGTCCCGAGTCTATGATTAGCCTTCGCGATTCAATTAGTTTTATAAAATAATATATCAGTTGTTTGCAACTCTATGATGAACTCAAATGCGAAAGGCGGTTCCTCATGGATTCACTTAGATTTGCATTTGCAATTAAGGCGCAACTAATGGATAAATTTAATAAAAGGATTTTAAATGATATCAATCTAGCTTATTGATTGTAACCTGTTGTTTGTTTATGTTTGCATATATTGATCATTTATTTACCAGTATATCATTAATGCTTTCAGGATCAGCATACGTGCGGGGTACTAGGACACCATGGAGGTGGATAGTGTAACCACTGCAACATTAGAAACATTTGCAGTGCACGAAATGACTGACGATACACTGGAATACAGTAATGATACGGCATATGAAAACTACGCTAGCTATGCCGATGAGTTGACTATATCTATTGAGGAACGTGATAAAAGTATCCGAGTGGCGGTATTTTCAACATGTCTCTGTATCACTAGCCTTATCGTCAATGCTGTTGCCATAACAGCCATAAAACACTGCCCCGGGAAAGCCACCAACAGTCATTTCCTTTTCATAAACTTAGCAGTTGCAGATATGATCGGATCGATTGCATCGTATTTTGAAGCATTGTTCTTCGTGTTGTACAATCTTCAGGGCAATGATAACATATTCGAAGCGGGAGCTGTGATGTTCATGTTATTCACACTTGGATATTTAGCATCTGCTCTGACTCTGTTGGTGTCGGCGATCATCAGATATTTCGCTATCTGTAATCCCCTCAAGTACGTGCATATCACCACATCAAAGGTCTGTTGTTTCATGACCATTGCTTGGATTATCTCAGCCGTAGTTGCGGGACCACTAGTGGCCATCGCATTCCTTTTGGTTTCTCCACCAAGTTTATGGAGGCACCTGAAAGCATTCCATGAGGGTTATTCCTACGTTTACCCGATTATCGTATTCATTATATTCACTAGTATTATCATACTATACATCCGAGTCTACAAGGAAACTATGGCGTTGCAGGAACGATCATCTGAGCTCCATCCAGGATTGCAAGTTCCAGAAAACCATAAAGCGTTTGTCACTACATTGCTACTAGCCGGAACGCTTGTTTTCACAGCCATTCCTTATATCGTTATAAGGGTTGCCCGTAGTAGAGGCGGTCCACATTCCGACATGATCGACCGTATCTATTGGGATTTTGTCTATTATCTCCCACTTGTGAACTTTATCACCGACCCTATCATATATGGCTACAGAACACGTGACTTTCAGAAGGGATACGCGGTTTTGCTCAACAGATGTCGCTGTTGCTCACCGAGGATTAAGGCGCGTCTGTCATGTTGTCTAAAAACGAACACCAGGGTTTTAAGGAGTCACAAATATATCACTGCCCCTACAACAAGTAATGGCATAACAAGTGAGAATTCTATGGTGTAAATTGAACACATGAAAATGTAGCCTCGTCTGAGTGCTCCATTAACGGATCAAGTTCGAGTATTTGAGGCTCAGCAGAACCGATAAGCGATGTGTTGGCCCTTGTGTCAACGAGTGCAACCACAGATTGGTGGGCCTAAAAGTATCCCATTGGATTTCATGTTCGTGAAAATATGTACATGTGCCCGAGTGCGTATATTGTAAATATCTTCCACTTGATAATAAGGGACATAAGTGATTTACGCTACGATATCGACAAAGGTTCTCAAAGACCATGGATGTCTATCCCCAGGGATAGAGGTCCATGCAAGGATTAAACATTAAACGAACGATTTTAAGTCTTGAGTCAAGTTAAGAGCGCCTTACAGACACTATCGGATATAAACGATAACCTAGCTTCTTTCTTGTTCAGTCTCGTCCTGGAGTCTCGTGATCCTTGACGTCATAGAATCTCGGATAAGGATCATGGCATATAGTCTTACCAGTTCGATACATCGCTATTACATCTCGCAGAGTAAAGATGGTGATAGTACATTAGAGACGTAGACAAAGCAATCCATGAAAGTGAGATAAGCGGTGCAATCTGTCAGGGAATTACTTCACTAGAGACGAAAGGATGCTTGAAATATAAAGAATTATTTTCTGCGTATTGATCTATATGGCGGAAAGTTAATATATTATAACAGGGTGATCAATCAAAAACTAGTTTAAAAATATCTCCGGAACTCAGTCGTTGTGTACATTATTCATCATCAAATTTCTCGATAGAGGTGCATCATAGAACTCCATCATAGAACCTGGATATACACTTATCGAGGCAAAGAATGCTACAGTTATAAGAATTTATTTAAGATCAACTTTTAAACAAAATGAAAAGCGTAATAATTAAGAGCAGGGGAGTTGAACAAATGTAATTTCAGCGGCAGTATTTTGTAATAATTATTGTAACTGATGATTACCATTTAATATTGATGTTGTTCTGTGAATGTTGCTCATATATCTTCCACAATGAAATGTCCGACATGTAATTGCTATTCTAGAAATTCCTGTACATAAACGAGTAAAGTTGTGTTTCGTAGTCCTTAATAATCGAAGACCTCATGGATACCATAACATTTTAATTTTAGCCATCTTTACAATCCAATATGATTGCTTAAACTGGGTAGATGAATGTCAAAATTTGAAACATATTTATTTCACTATTTTCTGGGTATGTACTGGGAGAGTCAGGAACTTCTTGCGTGATTTGTGTCACTTTCTTGAATTAAACAATGATCTATCAAAGAAGCGTGTTACTTGTTGACAGCAGGCCTATCATTTCCCCCCGGAGCTTGACAACTGACTTGCTATCTGTATAAATGGCTCTAAAGGGGAGGAAATCCTGGGTTTAATGAGCATTGTGATCTACTGTTCGTCACGTTTGACTTTTTCGTATTTAATTCTCATTATTTTGGATATCACCTCTTATACTGTACCTCTTCCTGAGTTATTTTGCGGATGGGATCAAGTGAACGATGATCAGTCCCGACTAGCGCATTACCCATAATTATACATACAGCTTTATACATACATGTACATGCATCTCTCTATAAACAGATAATGCTCACAATAAATGCATCTGGATTCCCAAATAATTATGGGCTTAAAAAAGTTCTAGTCTAATCTACCTCAGTTTAATGGCACGGCTCAGAAAAATGTGATGGTTAAGATGAGAATATGTTCGTGCTCACTATTTGTAAGAGGGGAGTGTGTAGAAACTGTGACGATATGTTGTGTCTAGGCACGCCTTTCTAGTTACCATCACGTGGTTGGCTTTAAGCTGATTTATTCATTGATGTTCGTGCAAAATGTCACGTACGATTGGATATCTAAACGACATCGCTGTGCAGCGAGACCAGAGAAACTATGGACATCGCCCACGCTTCGACGTTGCACAAAGTATATACAATTAACAGTATGATAAATTCATAAATCAGGGAGTGACTTTTGGCAGTTACGAATCGGTTCAATATCAATTATTAGCAGACCCCCTTGTTTTCATGTTTCGAGGGATTACTATACATGGTTTTAATTGACGGGTGCAATATTTCGCGCCCTTTGGAGGATTGTTTTTTGCGTGTTTCTGCTTATCCTCCCAGACAATATCGATGTGTTCATTGAAAAAGAACATGGCTTGTCCATAAACTATACTACTGTAGTATAGCGTTTGAGATTGAATTTACGAGCACAAGATTGTCTCAGAAATTATGATTTAGATTCGAAGTATCTGTGGATGAATACAATTTTTTTCAACAATTTACCTTATGTATCAGTTTACGTCGACATGTCGATCAGATTTCAACATCGGTTACGTCACAAATTGTAATTTGCATCTTCACAATGTTTTCTCAGTGTATCGTAGATATCGTTCAATCAACAGCATATAGGCAATATCGTGATTTATATAATGTTTACTATTGAACTAATTTATAAAGAGGTGTTATTTTTAGCAAGAAAAAAAAAATCGTATATTTCTTTTTTTGCTTCTATGTTGTTTTTGTTAACTGAAAAATTCAGAGATATAGCTTAGTTTCCAATGTTTGTTTCCTGTTACGCCGGGGTTGTTTCTTGGACTTGATGATTGGTGGGGGTCTTATTACCCATTGGCGTCTCCTCTCTCTTTTCTTGCGATTTTTTGTCACAGAATGAATTTACTTGTTAATCTATCTAAAGGTTATAGAAAACTGAACAATAGAACAATAGCATTTAATTCATAAATCTTCATATCGTTAGTGCATCTAGTCGGTCTATAATCATTGAATTAATGGGAGACAGTATTTTTAACTGCTCCTTCTATTTCGGTTGGCCAAATATTTCTATGACACTCAGTCCAGAGTCCGGAATAGCATCCCCATGTCTGTCATTAAGCCAGGTTGATTAATGAACGAATCGGGAATTGTATAGAATTTGTAGAACTGATCGGAAAACGTGTTTTTAACATCGTCAAGCCAATATTTAGAGATCTGTTAATCAGGTGGAACACTGATACAAATACCTGGAATCTCCATTTTCTTTTTCAATCCCTGAAAAGTGAAGCTGATCTGAAAACTGAAGGATTTATCACTACACCAATCAGGAAAAACATACCTAGTTTGTCAAAATTATTTCTTGATTTGAAAATGCTTATAAATAAAGTATTTAGCGGGTTGAATACTGTAAGTTTTATTTTATGTTACGCATAAATGTGAAACTATTAAAAGATTTATTTTAGAACCAATAATCAGTTTCCTGAAATCAGGACATGTGTATTAGCTCATGAAATGTAATAAAATAGTGTAATATATCAAAAATAAATGGTGGTATTCAAATAATTAACCGAGTTTCTATTCTTCTTTCTGGAGCAAATTGCAACAAAAACGATAATTTCAGCTATAAATCTATACTTGTATTTTGGTTGCGGCCTGTGTACGTTGGTGTCATTTTAAACTATCAAGGGAAATGACATACAAGTATTGCTTTAAAAGGCCGACATACCGAGTTAGTTCTCAAAATCGTCCAATCCCATCGTAAAGAAGGCGGGGCATTTAACACGCAAAATGTCACAACCTAATGTTTAAATGGGGGGGGGGGGGGGGGCAGAGATCTCCATTTAATGAACAAACATACTGAAGAATGCCATAATGTCATAATGAGTGCCAAGTCTTAGATCTTACTATATTATTTATATAGCGCTTTAGCGCCATCCAGTTTTGAAAAAAACGGGGAGCGCTTATAGGCATCGTTGTTTCGTATGAATTACACCGACACTTCACACACATAAAGATAAACTTACGATGTAGTCAAAACGACAAACCTGGTAGAAATCCGACCAATAGTTTGCAATAAGAAACGATACTTTTTTTCAACTCAAAACTGCCACGTGTCCGCCATGGTAGAAATTAAAAAAATATGCGATATTGGTTAACACGCCAGAAGTGAACAAAATATTATTCGAAAATTCTGAAGCCGCCATTGATGACGCCATTTGTATGTCGATTTTTGAATAATCAGAGATGTATGCCATCTCAATACAGGCAAGGAGGGTTGGCTGCCAGGATCGAAACTCGATATTTTCAAATAATGAAAACGTCTAAATGTCGTTATTTTCTGAAATTATAACCCTACTATTACACCAAACTAGTTCTCAATAAGTTCTCGAAAATGGGCTTCAACTGTGTACGAACGGACTGGACGTACTTAGAACCGTTTGGGGTATATTTACAAACTTCATCGAACGTACTCGAACGGGTAGGTTCTCTAGAACTTAGAACATGCTCAAAATGTTCTCTTGATCGTCACGTTCTACAATTAGAACGAGTGACAACCTACTAATGCCTTGGTCACATAGGCTCCGATTTTCACTACGGCGCCCGGCCGATTGAGTATTTTGTTCAAAATTGAATACAATATTGAACAAAACACTCAATCGGCCGGGCGCCGGCCGATGGATCGGAGCATACGTGTATGTGACCCAGGCATAACGACGAGCTAGACATACTACGAACGAAACCGTCGTACTTCAATCCTACTAGGGACGTTTTTACAACGAGTTGAACTGTCTGAGGACGTATTGAGAACGAGGTAAAACTAATTGCAAACGGGTTAAAACTGATTAAGAACGTATTTATCAACGAGTTGGCAAAAATATAGCTATCACACCAAGCAAGTTTCCACTGCGTTCTTCAAAACTGGTTTTAAACTGTGTGCGAACGGAATGAACGTAGCTATAACATTCTACGGTCTCTTTACGAACTTCATGGACTTCATCGGACTTCATCGGACGGGAAATGGGATTTAGAATTTTGAATCGATTCAAGTTGATGGCGACCATACCGTTCTGTAATCAGGTCATGATGACCTTATAGACTAAGGGACGCGTTATACGACGTTGCACACCGATGTGGTGCGACCTGAACGAAATGCGAATGAGATGGACGTATTAAAGACTGTTTATGAACGAAGTATAGCTAATTATTTTAGACATATTTCCCGACCACAGCCAGATTGAGCCCGTTTTACGACGTTTTCGTAGGACTGGCAAGAACGGGCAAGAACTAGTTTGGTGTGATATAGGGGTAACCGACTATAAAATCAAAATATAGTTGAGTTTTGGAATTTTTCATTAGAAAATAAGACCAACATTTACCATTCAAATGTTGAAGTGAACAAAATGGCGGCTGTTTGAATTCGAATTTTGTATCACGACATGCATAGTCAGTACGAGACAGAATATCGATTTTGGACTCTGGAAGCAAATCAGGGGGACGTCAAATCCTCCTTGCCAGCCGCAAACCAACATTTTCAAACAATGAAAACGTCAAAGTGTCGTTATTTTCTAAAATGATAACCGTCTATGAATTCAAAATAAACAGTCCAAAAGATAAGAACCAATATCTCGATCATTTCTTGCGAGTTTTGGAATTTTTCGTATAGAAACAAGTCCAAATTTCACGATTCAAAGGTTGAAGTGAACAAAATGACGGCTGTTGGAATTCGAATTTTGTAATCACGACATGCCCATATATGGCAAAAATAAAGATTGGAGTCAATCCTCCTTGAAAACAGGTTTATATTATAAGCGTGTCATCTTTTAACTCTGAGGGTCTTTGAACAAAGAGGCCGATGTTATCAAAATTACTGAAATGATTAGCCCACAATGACTGAGCGACAGAATGTTTAATAAAAACCGTACTTTTGCCACTATATTGAAAGACATTTTAAACATTAGTCATCATCACGGAGGTTTAGTGCGACTATGTAATAGGCCTCGAAATAATCCTTTTTAGAATCTGAAAATTGAGATGTAGGTACTTAAGTTTTACAATCAATTAATGGCTGTCTAATATTAGCTGTATCTGACTCTCTGAGTAGTGACAGATGAGAGAGGTTAGAGTGATAAAATTTTAATTTCAGATAAAATAACAATCACGACCTTTATCCTGAATGGGGCGGTCGCTAGTGATGGCATGTCTAATTTCACCAATGGGCATTTGCAAACCAAAGTATCGCCGTGAGGCCTCCCCGCGGCTGCATTGCGCCTATTTCGGTTTTTGTCAAGAAAAACTACGCCCATCGTATATGCGTACATACGTCGACCGTGCATCGTGATTTATCAGCCGTACGATAACCTTAGGGTTTGTCTCCTAAAAATCAAAAAACGCCGTACGGCTGGCGGAGCAAATGTGACTGCCAAATAATCCGACTCAAGAAATTTTAAGGCGACCATAAAAATGTAATTGATCGCAGAAATTAAAGGTTCAATGAAGACCATAGAAGGAATTAGGGGAGTCATTTTACCTTTCCCGTGCAACGTTTGGCCCAATATCTTCTGCGCCATACCTATTGTCTTAAAATATAAGCACTTGTCGACGAAATAAGAAATACATCTAAATTAGCAATTGAAAGGATGGACATCCCGCATTTGTTTTTTGAGATCATTTCTGAATCTCCGCCATTTAAGATTCTTACTGCAGCTGAGATTAGATGACCGCATGTCAGCATGTGTACAGTATAACCGCGGTTGTCTGAAGTAACCGTATGCATGATACACGATATGACCGCCGAACTGACGAAGTAAAATAAAAAAATCGAAGACTAAAAAAACCTCAAATCTACCCATATTCAAGGTTTTCTTGGCACGTGTATGGTACATAGCAAGCAAAATGTTGAATAGAACGTTAGGTGAAAATGGGTTTGGAATCCAATGACAACATCACCGGGAAATTATTAAAAGGTACGTGAGCATTTTTTCTGTCAATGTAAAATGGTTTCGAGAGAAGATTCCCAGGGATTTAGGATGATTAGTGATTCTGAATATCGGCAGAATTTGGGTACGATCGGGGTTTTCTTTGAAGCTAATAAAAAGATGTTAGGCTTGATGAAATATCCAAACTTCGATGTATCTTGACACCAGGTCCATGATCGTTGGATACATCTCTTCACTTTTTACTCAAGCTTTAAAGATCGTGCGGTTGCCTCATAGCTTAACAGCTTAATAAACTCGATTTCTTGGCAGAATGAGAGCACGAGAGGATACAATGAAATAGTTTTTTAGCTTGACCTTTTCCATCCATTACATTGGCGGATATCGAAGTTGTTCATAATCTCGGGCCGTCATCTCGCGAAATAAATCTCTTCTGGGGAGAATGGAGAATTTTTCTAGTTTCGCCGGAAACGCGTCGTTATCCCCTGAACTTGCCAAAATGAGACTAACTGGGAGGTATGAACCATCATGTCAAAAAGCAAAATGCTTTCGTTCAATTAAATGCTTGGGAATTGAATCAGACATCGACATACTTTACAGCCATCAACCCGTAGAATTCAATATATTGTACTGATGGTGGTATTTTTTAACAAAAATTTAACTTTACACTAAAAGTGACGGCCATTTGACCATCTTGATTACCATATGTACCATATCAACAAGAATAGCATGTACATGTACGTCATGTAGTTCATGCTATTCAGTATTATGAACACTACGTCATGGTCCAAAAACCTTCCTAGAACTATGAAAATTACGTCACTGATGTAACCATAAAAACATATGATGTTGATTATAAATATTGTCCATTTGTATTTGTTTATGAAGTACGAGTAGTTATTCTTACGATCACACTCAGTTGAAGTCCACAATTAAGAAGATGACAGCCAGGATTTCACAAAGGAGTTTCGACATACTCATGTCGGAATTAGACCTCAACATTGACCGTCTTTACACTGGAAATACATACCAAAACGCCGTTAGTAAGGTTTTGAGTAAGCGTTGGTCTTGTCCGAGGATATACTTCAACCCACGGGATAACCCACACCTTAAGGCGAGACAGGTAACACGATCAAAGAAGTCCAAGGCGGATGGAGAGAAGAAAACCAATAAATATGTGAGGGAAACGCTGAATAAAGACTACACCGTTGCCCACCGGAGAAACTGGTTCGACCGAGTGGCAGATAACTCAACAACGAGACATGTTTCAACAATACCTGTGATAAAAATGTCTCGGAATCGAAGCGCAAATATCACAGTCAACTCGTATTAATGAGTTCATAATTACCCATCGACAAAATGATCATGAACATGTTATACAATGTACTTCGAGCATTTTAATCATTTATAATTTTATAAATATAATCGATAAAGGTTTTGGCAACAAGTTGTGAGTCTTAAGCCTAAAGAGGAGACATTTAAATGTATGTAGTATTGACATGACAGAAAAATAGATATAGAGTACGTAGTTAAGTATAACCCTCGATACATGGCTCAAATATTGCTATTTACAAAGTTACCGCAGTTACTGAATAAATCTGAATGCTCAATAAAATTACACAATCGTTCATTGTATCATGACCAGATATTGTAGAAATATTTGGGTCCGAAAGTTGCTGGCCAGTAACCTGGAAAATTGACCACCCTATTGCTCTTCCGAATCCAAGTCTGTTTTCACTTCATTTTCCAGGTGCTTGACAAGTTTTACTATGTTACTATGGAAACGGGCGATTTAAACATCTCTGCCTCAAAATCTCAATCAAGTACTGATGACAAGATATATATATATATATTATATATGGACAATTACTTTCCAGGCCTTTTCAGCTGTGCCTTTTTCATACACAATATAGTCTGAATTTATCAAAAATCTCGATATTAGATAGTTAAATCATGTCTCTATCTTTTGAATTAAAACATCACAATTACATTTGTATTATTTTACGTATGTTTGACGATGTTTTAAAATGACAATTCATTCAGAGCACATCAATAGGGAAACGTGATTTCTATATGATTTTACATCCATTCCATATTAAAACGTGGACTAGCACTAAGTTTTTTAAAATGAACTTGCTGTGAAACATAATCTCAATTTCCGAAGAGGTTACCATTTTTCATAAAATGGTGATTTATTCCGTATTCGAACATGACTGTATTCACGCCTTCTATAAACTGTAAACAAAGTCAACATTTCACCTGGGATATATTCGCGATCAATACCCCAGTTAATACGTGTAATGTGTGACGTCATAACGGTGGGTCGTAGTAATGGCGGACCATGATGAATATATGAGGCAATTTGGTGAGTTTTCATGTTCGAATCGTAATATAGACCTCAGAGCAGGGGTAATATCGATGAATACACCCCTTGGGGCTAGGCACAAAAGCTTTCGAACCCCTCACTCCCTTCGGTCGTTCGGGGTACAGAAAACGTCTGTGCCTATCCCCGCGGGGTGTATTCGACGATATAACCCCTGCTTTTCGGTCTATATTATTATTAGTCACAATATAGACATGACAGATATGAATATGTGATGTCAGTTACATTATTGATTGACCGAAGCGTTAGTGGGAGGGAGACCAATGTTAAAGCTAATGTTCGGACATATTTCGACCATTCGACTGCTAGGAATTATGGAGCAAATGTCAACCTTCTCCGACCCTAACCATTCCGGTTTGGCCCAGTTATCTACTCATATGAATCGGACATGTCGAAAAATGCCATGACCCCTACTCATTTCCTCCCAAAATTTGTCAAATATGTCATTTGAAATATTGTTTTACCAAAGCTAAATTGTTGTCGTCTATTGATGTAGGGTCCGACAATTAATATACGATATCTTTTATTAGAAAAATTTGAGTGCGATCAGTTAAATATCAGCGTTTCGAATTAGTGTATTATTTTTCATCGTAAATGATTTAAATATTAAGCAACTATGTTCAATACGCCTGTGTACTTTGAAGTGCTATGATAATTTATTTTGCGTGTTGAAGGCGATTGCATTTGCAAAGTGAGAGTCTCCGAAATTTCTGACGAAAAAAATCTGCATGTTTTGACATAACGGAATTTAATGCCAACAATTGGCTTGGGGGCCTTGCTGTCATGTTGAAATGAGGTTTGGAGATTTGAAGAGCCTCTTGTCATCGGCGGATTTATAAAGTACCAAAAATGTAATAAAAAGAAAAGGAATAACCTCAAAAGAATTTTGGCTGAAGAAACGGGACAAATCAATATTGGGTATATGATAAAACAAATAGTGACTGCCTAATTTTGAGCAATAGTGTAAATAATTTTGCTTTGGGAATTTCATCTAAAATCTACCATACCCTCAGACTGCGGCTTTAGGAATAGTACATTTTAGAGGAAATAGTTTACACCTCAATGGCAGTCACTATTTGTATAATATTCGTCATTCTTAAGATGTTGATGGTGTTTTATTATTTTTTTTTACTATTTATCAAAAGTACAGAGTAAATGATCAACAAGCCAATGTTCCATCCAGTCTTCTTAAATACTTGTATGAACTGCCCTCTATATGACGGAAAATGTGGATTTTTCATGGCTTTCCAGTGTTGATTTCTTTATTCATTTATGTCGAATAATCAAAAAATGCGATTTTGTTATCTCATCAACTTTTGCATTGTCCTATTACATGTAGCTATTTGCAAATAACACCAGCAATGCTGTTGTTACATAAATTGAAATCTATGTCAAAATCAACATAGCTATGATGAAGTTCGTATTCAGTACAATAGGAATGATGATCATACTGGCCCTGGGCGGCTACGAGAGAAAAGTCCAGATCGAAATCACATTTTCCAAGATGCGTTTCATCACCTTTACAATTAACATTGGTTATCGATGAACCACCTCCGTGATAGTCAAGATCGTACTCGTTAGGAGTGTAATCCATAAAATAAACGGATGCATTTTTATATGGAAATCCTAATTGACGGCACACAACCCTTGCATCTTTCTCATCCCAACCAGATCCACAGACAGGGTGGTTTGGCCATCTTTCTATCAAGTCACTGACCATGACTTCACCCTTAATCTCGGATTCTCTTCCATTTCCTCCAAGTTCAATTGGTAGTTTTCCACAAATAACACTGGCTCTTAAACCATCTATAACAGAATAAAATAATTGTAACTATAAATCAAACAAAGGATAGGTATCGATATGGAGAACTGAATTCAACAATGTTTTTCTCTTAAACCAATTATTGAGAACATTCTGTAAAAAACACGGTCCTTTATATATATGAAGTGTTGACTGATTGGCAACAATTTAATGCACAAATTATTTATATATAATTTTATAACTCTTTTTGTTGACATTTTCTGTTTTTTAGTGCAATTGTTTTTTGTTCCTTTCCACTAATTCTTGAGAATGAAATAAAATGTCTTTCCGAACCTTGTTGGAACAAAATAATTTTCTTAGACCTCTCAATATTATAGTTATACAAAGGAAATTTTGGTTGACTTAACAAAAGGTATGCAAAAACTTAAAACAACCCCCAAAATAAATAAAAACTAAGATAAAACTTTGATTTCATTAACAAGATACTTTTTGAAATCAACCAAACTTCCCTTTGTACAATTACAATATTGAGAGACCTAAACACGTTGTGTTTATGTCGTTTTGTTCAAATGAGGTTCGGAGAGATGTTTCATTTCAATCCGAACATATGATACCAAGAAGAAAAGAAGTTTCTGATGTGTTTTCTAAAGCAATATAGAAAAAGTTATATATAGATGGTTGGGCGCTAGGCGATACGAACGTACCACCTAGAATGGCCAGTTTTATAGACCCAACTTGTGAATAGAAATATATATTATAATATTATTTACATCTAACACGAATACGTTTTGTTCAATTCACAACAAGCAGTTCTAGGGAGTATCACAAATACATATATTTCAAATTGTATTTTTACTATCCAAAAGATGACCATTAAATTGACGATGTGTAAAACTTTCAGAACATTTTGATGACTGGTTTAAGAGAAACGCGCGTTCAAAAAGTTCACCATATCGATACCACTCCTTTCAAAGAAATTAAAATAAATTATTTTGTAATAATATGAAAAGTATTTTTCTTTAATAAAAAAAATACTTCCCAGGACACGATATATTATTTCCCAGATTGAAACTACACTCTGCTAGACTACGTTCATCTCCAGTACAGTTGACATCACTCATTATTATCGTATCGCCCCCGTAACATTGGAGAAATGGAAAGTTGTCCACCGTCGCATCGACTGGGTCGTATCCTGTAATCATTCATAATATGGTATGCAATATGCATACATCATATCGATTGGCAAATACATGTACAGGGATCTGCAGAAGCAATGACACAACTCCAAATTATATTTTCATCTGTTATGCAGCTAGTTTAGATACTGCAATATGATTGGTTCTAATAATATTATATTAATCTCTATATAATAGAGTATATTATGCTGATAATATTTTTTTCCTCCACAATATACAGGGTGGGCCAAAAAAACACACCCCTAGCCGATATTCCTGATAAATATTCATTTTTTAACATGTACACCAACAATGATATATCATTTTAAAGACAATTTGCAACAAAATGATATATAATAGAACCATTTTCAACAACCCAACATAGAAATATAATCAATTATGTGACATGGGGGTCAAAAAACACCTTTTCAATTTTCATCGATTTCGCGAACAATCGCCTATTTCTACCAAATTTTACCGTTCAATCAAAAATTGCAACATTGTCATGAGTCTTTCATAATTGGATATTATATATTGTTTTCATTCAGTTTTTGAACCATGCATGCTCAATAAACATGTGTATGCTTATAAAACAAATTCATTTCTTCTTCAGTCTGTCCAAATATGACTCAATAGACCCACCCCTGGACTCACCTTTTGATCGGATTATTCGCTAAATACGCGAAAGAAATTGGTATAATTGATGGATCTCTGCGAAAGTACCACCAAACTCCTAATTATTTATTCTTTCAGTTTGTCTACATCCCTGATAGGCTAGTGATCTTCATAGACCAACTGTTCTAAATGCCTCAAGTACTATACATATAATCAACAGGATAGACTCTATATATCAGTAAGCAAGAATAGGGACATTTGCGATAAAAGACTACTCAAATCGATTTTCTGAAAGGATAGTGGTGTCCACTCGGTGTTTCCCAAAAAGGAAAGACCGTACAGGCCCTGTTTTTGTTGAACCAGGAGCAAAAATATACTCTGAATGTTAATGACATGAGGTGTTAAAAAGGACTCCTCAAAAAACAGGTAAAAGAAATTTCATTTTCTGATAGGAAAGTGCTTCATCACACAGGTCCAATGCTACCCTGGAGTTTTTGGAGATTCGAAATGACACCATCTCGATCTAGCCCGGACAAATGGCTTACTGGCAGTCCAGATGCCAATAATGTTGATAACCATACCTGGGGGCATCGAGAACAGTTGGTATTTAAAGATACCCAACCTATCAGGGATGTGAAGGAACTAAAAGAAAGAATAACTAGCAGTTGAATGGTACTTCCACACACATCCATCAATTATGCCATCAACCAATGGCTTACGCGTCTTAAGCGAATAATCCGATCAGAGGATGGGTCTGGGGGGTTGGTCTATTGAGCCATATTTGAACAGACTGGAGAAGAAATTAATTTGTTTTATAAGCATACACATGTTTATTGAGCATGCATGGTTCAAAAACTGAATGAAAACAATATATTATATCCAATTATGAAAGACTCATGACAATGTCGCAATTTGTAACTGGTAAAATTTGGTAGAAATAGGCTATTGTTCGCAAAATCGATGAAAATTGAAAAGGTGTTTTTTGACCCCCATGTCACATAATTGGTTATATTTCTATATGGGGTTGTTGAAAATGGTGCTATTATATATCATTTTGTTGCAAATTAAATTGTCTTTAAAATGATATATCATTGTTGGTGTACATGTTAAAAAATAAATATTTATCAGGAATAATGGCTAGGGGGGTGTTTTTTTACCACCTCGCCCAATATATTTTTTCTCGAATAGGTATTCTGCCATATCCAGCTCCTGATCATCCAGTATTTGTTTAAGGTGACATTAAAGTCAATCAAAAGTACCAACAATGGGAGCCATATTTGATAAAGTCACACGATTTATATATGTTTTCCTTATACAGGGTGTTCCAAAAGTAACAGGACTGGTGCTGGCATTTTGTCAATTCATTTTTTCTGAAATTTTACAATTTTAGTTGCAATACTTCAAGGTAAAATTTGTGAAAATTTGAAGACAATCGGTGCAGAATTGACAAAATGCCAGCACCAGTCCTGTTACTTTTGGAACACCCTATTTTATCACTCATCATATGAGTACTCATTTAGTACTAAAACATGCAATAAATTAGTACCTATAACATTAGTGCTCATTTAGTACTAATACTTACTGAAATGAGTACACAATAGACCAATTAAGTAAATCATGCCACATATTGGTTATGATGTCATTCTTACAATTTCAATGCAGAAATAGGATTAAAATATTGCTAATTTTCAAAAACAATTTTGTTCGCAAACATTACTGCCTGTGAAGTATGACATCATAAATCTAGCCAATATAGCCTAGTGTCCTTGGTTCACAAAAATAGGTCAGGATTTATTGGAAAGGTCTAATATCGCTAAAATGCCATGAGTACTATTTAAGTACTCGGCATCTCCCTGTGTTGTATTGCCAAAATATAATTTGTCACTCTTACATCGTATATTAATATATCAATTATTAACGAAATCATCCTATTTCTTTTTGAGTTCCCGTGCTTCCAAGTTCCTGCTTGTTGGTACTTACCCATCTGTCTGCATACAACTTGAGCTTCATTTCTGGTCCAAGTATCCCCGCCACATATCGTGTGCTCTTTTCTGCCATGCTTGTATTCTCTATTCACTACAACAATGCCATCTTTTCTCCCATTGATGTCGCCCAAATCATAGCCAAGTGTCCAAGGCTGCAGATATTCGTGCAATCCTGAAAATAGGTTAAAGGTGGTAAGTTACTTTTAATAATGTGAATGAAACAATTTTGCAATTGGGATAAATAAATCGATAGGGGATTCTGAATAAGAATGGTAAAAGATAATAAGGGTATATATAGTATATACCTGGATTGTGATCAAAGCAAGCAACAGCGAAATCATAATAATCATAATTGTATTCATCAGTGCAGTTGGTCTCATAAATTCCACAAACGTCTAACTTTTCACCACTATAACAGTTAATCTGCACTGCTGAAGCGGACGTGGCCTTTCCGAAATAGTTCGACTTGTAATATCTTGCATATTGTCTTGGGCGTCCAATGTCGTCACAAATCGCTTGAGCCTTAGTCTCATAATACCCAGCATCAACAAAACGTCCACATACTTTTTTCCATGCATTTTTATGCCATATTTCTACACGCCCTGAATATTTGTCAGAGCCTCCTACCAAGCGTGCCTTTATTGATTTATCCGTACATCCTATATTCACACCGTCCTGTACCGATCTGCATGCATTTTCAAAACTTCCAATCGTTACAATTTTCCATTTGGTAAAAGTACATTCATTTAGGTTTGTCTCTTGTCCCGTACAATTCATGTCTGTAACTATGACTCTTTCATGCCGATGATTTAAAGATGTTCCAAAATTTTGCCCATTTGCTGGATTAAATCCAAGTTGTCTGCATGCCACCATTGCACCACCTTCATTCCAGTTACTATTACACATAGGTAGCCATTTCTCTCCAACCTGTACGGTCATTTCACCATGATCTGTTAGTAGCAGCCGTACGTTCAATTTACCTAGCACTATAATGACAAAGTAATTTACAATATAAAATATTGTTCATTCCAAACGAAAAAAATATAACCAACAAATCACAAGCAATCACTTAGTGAAAAATGCTGCTATTCTGACAAATTCATGTTTCGTATTCGTATACCCTCCAATCGGAGAGACCTAAATAGATACTGTTAACACGATCATCAGAACTAAATTGTCTCAAAATCCCGAAATTGTATGAATTGTTTACCTATTTTTGGTGTATATTGTCCATTTGAAAATTGTATTTACTGTTTACCTGTTTTTGGCGTATCTGGGCAGGTCAATAACCTTAATTTTTCCGTACTTAAAGCACAATGGCCCCCGGGTGCACACTTGGATAATGTTTCCTCGTGACCCTGACATCGAGTTCCATCTTCATACCATTCATCATAACCTTCAACAGTTGAATCTGTCAATATCACATCTGCATAACGCCATTCCAAGCCAAGATATCTACAAGCCAACATCAATGTGGGTGTGGTCCAGCCTTTAAGACACACCCGCCTCCAACCATCAAGAAAGATATAAAGTTCCCCGGTGTAAGAATTAGTCTTTTGTTTCAGTTTCAGTGGGGTCATACATGTTACATAGACAGGGTATGGATCCACTCCACTATGAAGGGGTTCTCCCCATTTCTTGTGATCACACGCCAAAATATTGTTTTCATTACCAGAGCATAATACATGGAGAAGCCAAATCAAAGTGGTATGTCTTTTTCTATCATGATTAGTTTTGAATGCATATTCTTTTGCTTCAAATCCCAACTGTCGACAAGCAACTTTAGCAGCTCTGTTTATTTCCGGCCGAATATCGAATTTACCCCTGACAGATATACCGCCCCATACACCAAATCTCTTCATCTCCAACGTGCCAGAATGATTTGTGCCCCCAGAAAGTCGCAGTTCTGGGACTGTATCTGAAATCAATAATCCAAAATACTGGTACTCCACTCGATTACGCTGGTGACCGAAACGGATCATTTCGGTAAGAAAATGTTGGAACCTCGAATATCCGTATTTTACGCGATAGGCAGAATTGCCACGACGTTTTATTACGAACGTTTGTCAGTAGCATATGTTTAAGAAAATGGACATGTTTGCGCAACAGTTATTCAGGAACTTTATCCACGTTGCTTATATTGTGTCGTTCACGCACATCTGTCATGGTGAACTGAGTTGATTTGTGTTTGTGCTTATCCTCAATTTTTCTGTTGTACGTCTGCGCAGTGATGATGCGCAGACGTTTCCAAGGGTATAGCAGTTGCAATCGTGACGTCAGCGGGCAATAGTTCAAATGTATATTCCCGCTTCTTTCATTTGAGGGAATATAACTTTTGAAGGGAAATAGTAAATCTATTTCGGGACACGTGACTAGGTATTGACCAATCATGATTAGTGTTACACATTGGGTGTATAATATTTTCAATTATTATTTGCTGTGAACATTGTATTGAATAAATATTTTTGCTTCCTTGGAGAAACTAGTTATCCTAAAAAATCGCCCTATGCTTTCTTTCAAAAGGTTTATGTAGGGGAACCGGAGAGACCAAGGGAACAAAAATCATATCATACCGACTGATCAATACAAAAACTAGATTACTAATGACAAATGAAAAATTCAATATTACAATTAGATTAAATTCCCACATTTAAGTTTTGTTATGCAAATGAAAATATATTTAGAATAAAAGCGGGCGTACTGTTTTACTGTGAAACATTTTAGAAAACTAGATGTACAAGTATATAGCAAAAACTATATTCCCGTCCGGGCACGTCCATGCAGTGAATGGGGATTAATTGATACATTTTGTGCATCGACCTGTCAGTTCAGTAGTCAGTATAAGCTTTTATCATGCCCTTGTCTAGATACTGAAATCTGATTGGTTCTAAGCTGCTGGTAATTTGGCCATATCTGGCGTTTTAAAAAACTGCCCAATATTTTTTTTTTAAACTGACCAATATTTTTTCAATGTTTTTGCATGCATTTGTTCAGGCACTCTACATGTACATGGGACTTCGACAGTTAAAGTGTTACGTTGATTAATTTAAACTGGCTTACATTAACAAAGAGGCGCCAATATCAAAGAAGTACTTTCATGTATGGGGCACATAATAATATGCTGCTCTCTTATGGTATGAGTACCGTAATCCAACACGAAATTCGAAAATTCATAACAATACTTTGCACAAATGGCGTTCGTGACCAACTATAAAACGCTTACCCCCCATAGTGTTATATATCAAAATGTACCTGTTCATATAGGGATTCGATTGATCTACATCAAATTATAGGGAGTCAGGTTACTTTTTGAGATATCAGCGTCCATTTATTGTAACTCGAGTTTGCTACCACTTCCTCAATTCTGATACGACGGGCAAACGCGTAGTAAACATGCTCACGTCGGAACTATTTTTGACCTACATCGCTATTTTCGTAATTCAAATGAAAGTTGAACTCCTCCTCTTTATTTTGATACCAAATAGTGGCATACTAGGTACCCTAGAAGCAAACTATGGTGTTATTTAGAACAATACCACGGGTTTTTAAATGGACTATATAGGGGTCATACCTTTTGGCGGATGGATATGGAACCTCATACCTTAACGTTTTATGACATCACACTAATTTTTGTCTCTGCAACTTTTTTTGGCAGAAAATATCATTTTTAGTTCAAAAATACATAAAAACGTCGGAACTGGCTGAATATGTGAACAATTTATCCATTTAGGCTAGAAAGGGTTAATTTGCCCTACCCCAAATACGTCTAAATATGCTAGTCTAACTTTGCCACTGTGACGTCACAAATCTAACCTGACTATCTCTGAGTTTATTGAAGAAAATGATACGTCTGACAAACAGCTTTCATTCCCTATATGGCACACCTTCTACTAAGAGTTGCATCATTGACTAAATCTAAGACAAAGGCCCTGTGTCCCGAAGATTTTGACTGAAATTTGGCCATTTTCGCCCAAATCTAACTAAATTGCAGTTTCCCTCACATCTGTATTTTGAAATAGATATTGCTACAATGTAGCAATTTAAAAATCACACATGCTTACTGTTTCTCTCGACCTGACACGTGTATCTAGTCTGTAAAAATGAAAAATCGCTACATTGTAGCAATTTCACTGAGATATGGGCCCTGAAAATCATGTAATTTTAGCAAAAAATGAAGAAATAACCTGCAATTTTGACGGAATTTCAGAGGGCTTTCTTTCATCCATGACCCTCCACGGGCCTCTTATGACCATTCTTATACTCACAGAAGGGTTGAAAGTGATTTCAAATCATTGTTTGCCCTACGCAGAACGAAAAAAATCGATTCTGTTCTCAAATTCTGCAAGAATATTGGTCTCTGGCCAACTAGCAGACAATTTTAGGCCTCATATTAAGGTATGAGTACCGTAATCCAACACGAAATTCGAAAATTCATAACAATACTTTGCACAAATGGCGTTCGTGACCAACTATAAAACGCTTACCCCCCATAGTGTTATATATCAAAATGTACCTGTTCATATAGGGGTTCGATTGATCTACATCAAATTATAGGGAGTCAGGTTACTTTTTGAGATATCAGCGTCCATTTATTGTAACTCGAGTTTGCTACCACTTCCTCAATTCTGATACGACGGGCAAACGCGTAGTAAACATGCTCACGTCGGAACTATTTTTGACCTACATCGCTATTTTCGTAATTCAAATGAAAGTTGAACTCCTCCTCTTTATTTTGATACCAAATAGTGGCATACTAGGTACCCTAGAAGCCAACTATGGTGTTATTTAGAACAATACCACGGGTTTTTAAATGGACTATATAGGGGTCATACCTTTTGGCGGATGGATATGGAACCTCATACCTTAACGTTTTATGACATCACACTAATTTTTGTCTCAGCAACTTTTTTTGGCAGAAAATATCATTTTTAGTTCAAAAATACATAAAAACGTCGGAACTGGCTGAATATGTGAACAATTTATCCATTTAGGCTAGAAAGGGTTAATTTGCCCTACCCCAAATACGTCTAAAAATGCTAGTCTAACTTTGCCACTGTGACGTCACAAATCTAACCTGACTATCTCTGAGTTTATTGAAGAAAATGATACGTCTGACAAACAGCTTTCATTCCCTATATGGCACACCTTCTACTAAGAGTTGCATCATTGACTAAATCTAAGACAAAGGCCCTGTGTCCCGAAGATTTTGACTGAAATTTGGCCATTTTCGCCCAAATCTAACTAAATTGCAGTTTCCCTCACATCTGTATTTTGAAATAGATATTGCTACAATGTAGCAATTTAAAAATCACACATGCTTACTGTTTCTCTCGACCTGACACGTGTATCTAGTCTGTAAAAATGAAAAATCGCTACATTGTAGCAATTTCACTGAGATATGGGCCCTGAAAATCATGTAATTTTAGCAAAAAATGAAGAAATAACCTGCAATTTTGACGGAATTTCAGAGGGCTTTCTTTCATCCATGACCCTCCATCGGCCTCTTATGACCATTCTTATACTCACAGAAGGGTTGAAAGTGATTTCAAATCATTGTTTGCCCTACGCAGAACGAAAAAATCGATTCTGTTCTCAAATTCTGCAAGAATATTGGTCTCTGGCCAACTAGCAGACAATTTTAGGCCTCATATTAAGGTATGAGTACCGTAATCCAACACGAAATTCGAAAATTCATAACAATACTTTGCACAAATGGCGTTCGTGACCAACTATAAAACGCTTACCCCCCATAGTGTTATATATCAAAATGTACCTGTTTATATAGGGGTTCGATTGATCTACATCAAATTATAGGGAGTCAGGTTACTTTTTGAGATATCAGCGTCCATCTATTGTAACTCGAGTTTGCTACCACTTCCTCAATTCTGATACGACGGGCAAACGCGTAGTAAACATGCTCACGTCGGAACTATTTTTGACCTACATCGCGATTTTCGTAATTCAAATGAAAGTTGAACTCCTCCTCTTTATTTTGATACCAAATAGTGGCATACTAGGTACCCTAGAAGCCAACTATGGTGTTATTTAGAACAATACCACGGGTTTTTAAATGGACTATATAGGGGTCATACCTTTTGGCGGATGGATATGGAACCTCATACCTTATATTCTTAACATATTTGAGCCTCTCAAAAGAAATCATGCTTATGGTCTAAGAAATCAACTGAGCTACACAATTCCAAAAATAACTTAAAACGGAAATCTCATCGACAAAGTTTTTAAAGCAAAAGTGAATTTTGCGAGACAAAAATGGCGGTCATTTTGAAAACAGGCAAGCTTTTGAACCAGGAGTCATAGGAGGGTTTTTCTCTATTCATGCGGAACGAAAATAGCTTAAAATGGGAATCCTATTGACAGAGGTCTTAAAACTTGCCAATTGTTGACAGACGGACAGACAGACAGACGGACATACAGACAGACGGACAAGTGAGTGATTGCAATAGCTCTCCATGTGAGCTAACAACCCAATGAGGTCTGTATTAATGATTGACTTTCCTGTTATCTCAAAATCTGCTTGGGATACTGAATACCACTTGATTACTATGGGAAATTCCGAAAATTCTAAGGAATTAGTATCATTTATACAATATGAGAAATTATTGGCATACATGAAACCTAGCATTTACATTATTCAAAAGCATTGGTAATCAATGATTCCCAGCCCTCTGAAGTTTGAAAAATAAATATACCTGGGAAGTAATCCATAAATAATCCTTGAAAATTAGAAATATTTTTCGGGATTATATGGTGCAATCTTAAGTCAATAAGTATTGATGTTTTTTTAGATGAAAAACACAAGCGAGATGCATGAAGAAAAACAGGTTATGTAAATAAAAATTCAAATATAAAGAGGCTTTAACACGTAGATAAATGAGGGAGCTAAGGTTGCCAAACTTTTGGAGGGGAGCGTATAGTTGCATCTTACCTTTGGGTTCTTTGTTATAGCACTTCAGGCTGGCATATTGGTTGATTGCGCAAGTTTCCCAAGTATTCTTGTTGTTATCAATGATACAATAGCCATCGGCACAAGACCAAGATACCCACCATGTTTTCATTTTCTTTTTCTTGGCTGGCCCAAAAAATTGATCACCGAATACAAACGGGTTTTCAGATTTGATACCCAACAGATCACAGAAATATTTAGCAGCTCTCTGGTCTAACATGGTAGAATAACAAACAGATCTCCATTTGCCCTTTATCTTGATTTCCAACTTCCCCGACGATTTAGTTTTTTTCCTCCCAAACGGCGGCTTTCCACTTTTTAGCCGGATGGTTGTCTTGCACGTGGCAATTGCATCTTTGTATTCCTGTTGGGTCATTTGAAAGAGTATTTCAGTAGTAAAGGGTGAGCCAAAAAGGTAATCTAGACAAATGTTAATAACTCAGTTGTCCACCATAGGCTTAGAAACAAATCTGGCACAATTGGACCTTGTTCAATATTCTTTCATTCTACCAGGTGGAGATGTACTTATTTAACACATTGTATTATCAACTGATTGACTGACAGACTGACTGACTGATTGATTTATCCAGTAACATAATCAGGGTAAAATGGGTCAAAATAACTTGCCTAGCCGATTTAAAGTAGATCAGAAAATGCTAACCTCTTCTTTACAGCGATAGATTTTACTCCCCCATGGTTCATGTTTGCAATGAGAGATGTGATCTTCTGTTCCGTTACAGTTCACCTCGCTTAATGTGAACTTGTTAGATCCTTTCCCATATTGAACATAGTTCTCATACGGCAGTTTATGCCACCACCAACTAGGATCTAACCAACCTAAAATTTTAAGAATATTCTGCATTATGATTGAATCGAGCAATTAAGACCAAACTCTACGAACAATGTCGAGCTTTTAAGTATCGACTTCATCGACTTGGAGCAAAATAGAGCCCCCAAGTGCGCTCCTCATAGTGATTTTTAAATTACCTCTTCTGCACTAAAGTTCCAATACACCGTTGGAAAGCCGAGAGTGTCAGCTTTAAGAATCCAACCTACATTTGAATTTTCGCTGAATGCAAAATTAGATATTTACCCTTTCATCACCAAGGGGTAAACTTAAGAAATCAATCATGCTTTTTCAATCAAAATATATTTTGACAATCGGTTTCTATTGTCTCGATCTAAATGTCCATAACAACAAATTTTGTGGTCTAGGCAACACAACAGTATATAATTATGATGTTTTCACTTTGTAGTTATAATAAAACTTCTTCTTTGAAATTACCACCCAAATATCCATGAAAACAATGCCAAGTTTCTTTTTACATCATAATTTTCATATAAAACAAGAGAATGTACTTTGATTGCATAAAGGATATGTTTATGTCACTCTCCATGATCAATCGTGTGACTTTTGCTTCCCTACTTAGTTTATATGAGGGCAGGGGGGGGGGGGTGGTTGGTTGGAAAATTGTATGGTTTCAGAATAGATATGGACTGTTATGTCTAAGAAACTATTCATTGGAATCACTCCATATTAGACAGTATGCATGTTTGAGATGGAATGCTACATTAGAGTGAAATAAAAAGATGCTGTATGAATAAATATGTGTGACAAAAGAGGTCAAAGGTCAAGTATTTGGCTTGATGGATTCCACTTAACCTTGATATCTAGTGAATACCCCATACCACTTGTTAAGTCTGTGTCTAGTGCTCCTTTGGAATTAATTATGATTGATAAGTTCACTTATAAGGGTATATTCAAAAATATAATATTAAGGTCAAAGGGATATGATGATACGCAATGTTATGTCAAGGGTGCATATTCTCATGTTAAGTCAATACACGCTTGCTGCAATCGTAATATTCACAGGAGAAAATTAGCAATTTTTATTGTACATTCCTAAATACCCAAATTACACATTAAAGTCCATAATATTTTCAAATATCAAATCTCATTTCTACCGAAATCCAAATTTCTGACGCATTTTGTAGCATTATGTTGTTACTGCACTTAATGACCCCTACATCAGCCTATCTGGGTTCAAACTCTTAAATATTTTACAAAGTATAATTTGGCATTGAATAAATAATTATTGTAAACCTAAGAATAATCCATTCTTGCCATAGGGGTACTTGTCATTTTGAAATAGATTTTCATAAAATTAATAAATGATCCCTTGGAGATGAAAGGGTTATTATCTAATTTTGTATTCACTCAAAATTCAAATGGTGGTCAGATTCTTAAAGCTTACCCTTTCAGCTTTTCAACTGTGTATTGGAACTACACACTCTTTTCAAATATCAAATCTCATTTTGGACGAAAACAAAATTTCTGAAGCAATTGTAGCAATGGGGCCACTGCACTTAATGACCCCTATCTTGGTTCAAACTCTTAAGTGTTCTCCAAAGTATAATTTGACATTGAATTGGTTATTGTAAACCTAAAAATAATCCATTCTAGCCAAAGGGGTATTTGTCATTTTGAAATTGATTTTCATAAAATTAATAAATGACCCCTTGGGGATGAAAGGGTTAATATCTTATTTTGCATTCACTAAAAATTCAAATGAAGGTCAGATTCTCAAAGCTTACACTTGCAGCTTTCAAACGGTATATTGGAACCTTAGTTCAGAGGTGGTCATTTATATCACCCTAATTTGCTCTACTAAAATAAGTCAGAGTCATGGATGCACATTACATAATACTACACAAAATAACTTATTCTATTGAGGTCAACAGATATAAATCATATTACTCTAACCTGACATTTTTTGTATTATAAATAATAACGCGAAAAATGTCACGTATTGGTTGGAGTTTAGGTTTAACCTGACGAAATAGGTCACAGCCTAGAAATATACAGCACATACTTGAGCAAGGATACAAAACAAATTCTTCTTATTGTAGCAAGTATGGTATAGACAATTAAGATACGAGAAATGTGAAATATGAACGTGATATGATAAATGGACGAATGTATACATCTTTACCACTCAGTGCTGGTACTGTGGTTTCGGCGGGATCAAATCCTAATTGTTTACACACAACCCTTGCATCTGCAATGTCCCAATACCAATTACAGACCCGACCCCACGATCCATTGTAGTACACCTCAACGCGACCATAATTTTTGTCACCTCCACGGAGCCTTACATCATAATCCTTAGGTTTTCCAACTAAAAAGACCACTTGTTTAGTAACCCATACTAAATTACAGAATTGGATTAATTATTTGCTATATGTTGGGATCATATGGCGATTTTATCAAACGGGTCAAAACGATGATTTTCATATTGGTATTTTAAACAAGTTAATATTTGCACTTATTTATACATAGTAATAAATGGAAATGTACTACCTGTTGTGTCCGTTACTATGCAAAGTAACAATACGACATGTCTGATACATGCATGTAGTATTTGTTTGTCCATTATCGTTGCAACGATTAATATTTGCTGTATTTTGTGATAAGCATTTTGATCTGGGCAAAATATATTAAAGTATATATTAACCGCAATGTTTGCGGACTTGTACAAGGTGAATAAACATAATACACCATATACATTTAATTTAATTATCCTACAAATGCTTAATTTCATATAGTGGTCTATCCAGATAACTGCATTGGCTTTTATATAAATGAGATATACACTCCCCTCCATGAACCCTAGCTCCCCCATTGAACTACGTGTTAAGCCTCTTTACCTTTGGATTTTTATTTACTTAACTTGCAATGAAAATACTTATGCTATTGACAGTAACGTAATTTTACTTTATTTCCAATAACTCCAAATTTTTTCAATTTTTTCCTCAATTACAATAGGTCGAAATTTGATGATAAATTTAATGAATTCTTTGAAAATCGACATTCCGATGTTAACCAATGGGAAATGGTAGGTTTGCTGCAGGTCATATGACACAATATTCATCCGTCCGAGTCCTTGCAAAAATACAAATTAGGTGGGCAATTGAATTTGCTAACTTTATTTAATCGAAAGGTTTCTTCAGGTTCAACAAAGTTATAGGGCTTTAAAGTCAAAATTGTTTTTTAAAAAACTTCCATTGAAATAACACAGGAGGCGAAAAAAATGCGCTGTAACTTTAGTATTTATAAAATAAACTAAACAGTCACTTAGTGTACAAAAAAGTTAGATAATTCAATGTTTTAGATAAAAATATTTTTGCTGAATCTTTTACTGAATATATATCCGGATTTCTGATTTGCCCCGAACCCACAATTTCCCATTGGTTTAGCTGGGAATGACGATTTTCAAAAATTTATCAAAATTATCAATTTTCGACCTATTGTAATTCATGAAAAAACGTAGTTCAATGGGGAGCTACAAGGTTGCCAAACCTATGGAGGGGAGTGTATGTAAACATTACATTATAAACGACATTTTTATGAATGTAGATATGAATGTAGAATGGAAAGATTCCATTCAAAAAATAATAAAACAATACAATGGATAACATAATTTCAAACATTAATGATTACCCTAGCCTTGCCCAAGTCTGTATTTTTTATTTATCAAAACTTACCAAAATAAGCATCTCTAATCAGGTCATAGCAATTATCATAAACTCATGCAGAACTTTTGTCACAAACTTTTATTTTCTAGCTCCATCAGATACCACCGCTAATCACTTTGATCCAGAACTTAGATTGACAAACTTTAATTTACTAAAATCATGGGCTCTACCACCAGTCCCTTGCTAAAATATAAAATGCTGTATGAGCTAAATTAACTGGGAATTCTTAGGTGTACCTGCACTTTAGATAACAACTAACGTTATAGCATAACGTGATAGCGAAGGAAGTGACATATTTTGTAACTTCAAATTGTAAATCTCATAATTCAAAACTTGTAAAAATTCCATGTCACACTACCCAAATAAACATGGTAATATATCTATCTGTATGTGTGTGTGACATAATATTGTGCTGCATGCCGAGGGAACAGGAAACGGGAAACAGGATATTCCCGAGGGGGAAATTTTTACAATATTTCCGGAAAATGTGGCAGTCACTGTTTGTTTTATTATACGAGTATACACTCCCCTCCATAAGTTTGGCAACCTTAGCCCCCCCCATTGAACTACCTGTTGAAGCCTCTTTACGTTTGAATTTTTATTCACTTAACCTGCAATGAAATAACTTATAATATTGATTTAAAGGCATTTTAGCAGGTGATAAGTACTTTTCATCTTCCCTGTTAGCAGGGATTTAGGACTTTCCAGGAAACTAGTTCATCTATTTCATATCATGTGACCAAGCCAATGAGCATCTAGATAATGCTTAATAAAATACATTGAAGTTCAAAAGTAAGTCTTTGTTTTACCAAAGAATGCTTAGACGCCTCAAATAAAAATGTTAATTCAATCATGCCAAAAATGTACAATAATCATCACTAAGTTGCTATAGTAACCATAATTTATATTTATTCGACCGTGTGATTTTCCAATTATACCGACTGGTGAACATTTCACATTTCGATAAGTTGACCTACATGCTTTCAGATTTTAACTTGAATTGAAATAAATAAATAAATATCAATATTTTAATCTAAAATGATACAGGATGCATTATTAATACACTCTGGATTTACACAAGTGAATTAACTTTCATAATATGCATATTCAATTGTTTAGATCTATAGAGCTCTTTCAGCAAATAAAGGGACTGGCTGTGGTTGTGTATACGAGTACAATCGTATCACAAAACAAAAAATTAATTAAAACATGTTCATGACATTTATTATTTGTATAGATCAGATGTTTATTATTTTGCTTAATCATCACTTAGAATCACGCCATAAACATACGCTCTCCACACTTTATAGTAGCCGAGACAACACAAGTCCCAAGTCTGTATTTTTACTCTCATTTCTTCATTTTTAAGAGTTAAGTCACCACATTTTGCATGCATATTCCTTGCAGAAATCCTAACATAGAATTTTATTGGTTTTGATTATAACTTATTTGTTGAAAATAGAGAAACATTTGATTCTGATTGGTCTATAATCAAAATTTGCCATTTTCAGCGACAAATGCATTATTTTAACTTTATATAAAAAAATCACTACTTTTGGTGTAATAATTCCAAATTGACCACATGTTTCCTTTTTCAGCAGAAGTGTAACTATTTTGGGGTAATTGAGACATATCCGAGAAAAATGGTATGCAGAAACATGATATTTGAAATAAAACGGGGCCAAAAAAGGACCCCTGAAGATGCCTGCATTATTTGAGATTTTTTGCACGTTTTAATTTCCTGAAAAATGGCTGGGGTAGGGGAGTGGCATACCCTTTGGGCTTATTCCAGTAACCATTTTAATCAAATGAATGATGACATATTTGGTATCATCTTAAAGCTTGTAATGTGTGCGTTAATTTGGTACCCGTATTATGACGTCAGATGCTATATTGTGACGTCACAGTAGTTACAAATAATCTTAAAGGGGAAATTAAGCACCAAAATGCGGCAAAATAATGGTGTGACTCCACCACTGTTTTGCCAATTCACTGCTTGCCACAATCAATGAATGCATTTCTCATTATTGTACTCTTCCAATGCATGATCTGATGACTGGCAAAACATATCTAGGATGATAGTTATTGTCAATAAGATTAGAGACACCATATTGTATCTATCATTTATAACTTCAATTTTTATTAATGACGTCAAAATGTTGCATTGGTTACACAAAATGGATAATTCTGATTATGGACCAATACAAATCAAATGTATCTGTATTTTTAACAAATAAATTATAATCGAAAGCAATAAAATTCTATGTTAGGATTTCTTCAAGGAATATGCATGCAAAATATGATGACTTAACTCTTAAAAGTGAAGAAATGAGAGTAAAAATACAGACTTGGGACTTGTGTTGTCTCGGCTACTATGTAAACCTGTTTCAGCCTGTTTATATTTTTATATATCATAACCTCAAACCTGCTCTGAAAAGAATCTTTATCCTATTTCTCCAAAAGTTTTAATCATGAATTCACTGAGTCGAAATTGTTGGCAACGAAGATGAAATTGTGATTCTCATCTTATGGTGGATTTAAGCAATTGATTCATCCTTCTTGCAATTAAATAATATGGTTACAGTATTTTCATTAAAAAACAATCGACTCGAAATGCCATGCTACATTAACATTAACTGTTTGACTATACAAGTACTGTATAAGACTGTGAGACGAACAAAACATGTTTAATTTGAGGCACAGTTATACAGTTATGGTAAATTGCAAAATTTCAGATGAGAGATTTAGGGAGAGATTGTTAACCCCCCCACACACACTGAATAGGCAAAAAAAATTCTGCATCATTAATATTTTTATAATATGAATGATATCAGAGCTCGCTTCCTGAATTTTCCATCAATAAATATGAAAAGATCTTAGAATTATGACAAAATATCATCAAAATCCATGTTTCCAACAAGAATCACTTGACATTAAGTGATCAAAATATGGATTTTGCAAAGTAACAGACATTTTGAAAATACTGAAAACAAAGGAGGAGGGAAATTAGCGCAACAGATTTGGACAGTCATATTTTGGATTTTGGCCATTTTCTGAGGATTTAAACAATTGCATATGTTAGGCCAATGCATTAACTCCAGGAAAATCACTTCTAGAGATGATAAAATAATTTCGACTTTGAGACAGGGTAGATGCAAACAACCCACCCACATGTTTTTTCTGAAATGTTTTCCTAATTTTCTACCCCTTCCACCCCTGCTTTTTCAATTTTTCTTGCATCAATATGTTGCATTTTGACACATAGTTAACCACTTTAAAGGAATAGGTGATTCCTTCAGGGGTTTTAAAGATACCCATTATGGGTGACCAAACTTAGCTGAAAGCAATGCTTTTTCCTATGGGAAAATAACATGGGAAATATTGTTTTCCACTTTATCTGAAAGGAATCATTTATTCCTTTTAAGGGATTATCTGTGTGTCAAAATGCAACATATTGATGCAAGAAAAATTAAAAAAGCATTCTAACTGAATGAACATATTTCATGGTGGTATCATGGAAAACTGTTCACAAAATATAGTTTTTGCTTTGCCCCCCCCCTGCTACCCCTTGGGGGTGGGGGTAAAACATAATTTTATGGCACAAAAAGTGACCCATGAATTTGTTTGGGCAGTTTTTTTTCATTTGAAACAACCAATTTATTCATAAAAATGCTTAGACTACTTGGTAGGGACAATATACTTAACGCCCCCCCCCTGCTCTTGCTTCTTAGCTTACCAGTTAAATAATTTTTAGGACTTGTGGAGGCATACTAGAGCTCTCTTCCTGATTTTCTCCATCAATAAATATTGGAAAATCTTACAATTATGACAAATCATCTAAAATTCATGTTACCAATTAAATAATTAGTTATTGATTTTAAAAGTAATAAGAACAAAAAAACACCTAAAACTGCTTTCTAATATATTTACTTCT